CTACTTGTGGGTGGCAAGTTTCTTAGGCCGGGAGGGGGGGGGCACTACATCGCCGAGATGTCGGGGGGGTGCCTCAGGCTGACCTGCAAAACAAATGGCACGAATGGGGAGCGGCTCCTATTCCCGTGGGAGATGGGGGCGCGCGCACACACACACACACCCCCCCCGACGGTCTTAAGGACCACAATAAACAGATAAGAGCCCTCTGTCCCCACCATGCCGTTCACGCAGGGTCTGAGGGTCAGAGTAAACAGAGACTCTGTGTCAGAGTTTGACCAAACAGCCCGTCTGAATGGGAGCTCACTGCAGACAGCACAATGGGGCTCTTCTGGGCCGAACAGAAAGGCCTGAAGATAACAGATGCCGACTAGCTCTGGAGGACATTACGAAAAGGGTGTCATTCTTCACCAGGTATCACTCTCCATCTCAGGACCAAAGCCTGGGATTTCCTGGAGGAACAGATAGCAAGGCCAGTGAAGAGGCCAGCCTGGCTCTCCTGTCATCTGCCATCTTCACCACCCACTCAGAACCCTTCTGTGACAAGGCCCCCTCATTGCCCCACTGTGCTCCCATGCTGAAGACCAGCAGCTGAAAGGCAGTCAGGACACTCAGTGCCAGAGCGCCCCCCGCTGGCCACACTAACACGCAGCTGAACTGAGACCAGTCTCAACATGCATCTCTTACACTTACCATAAAATCCACATTATAGGCAATGTGGGAAAAAAAAGAGAATCACACGAGGAACACTGCTTAGGGATTCATTATTGTAAAAAAGCAAAACTACAACCTACAACTAATACAAAGAAAGACTGTCAAAATAGTCCTGGAATACTCCTTGAAAATTACTTCTTGCTTCAATGCATCAGCTAACATTATGAAGCCCAAACTCTGCCTCTTCACCTGGAGCCCAACCCAGGTGGTAAATTCAATATACTGGGTAAGAGCCAAGGCCATCTGTTATATTGCAGGTGGAGAACAAATACCTGAACAACGTTTCCAACTCCCAAGGCCCAAGCTGGGCAGACAGCCGCCCCACCCGAGAAGGTGGCAGGCAGCTCAGTGCTCTATTCATTGGTCAGATCCCAGGGGCAGGCCGTCCAATCCGCTTCACCCAGGGACATCACAACGTATACATTATGCAGATTATAAAACCAGCAAGTAGTCCACATTCTTGTCTGAGATAACTTCCCTTTGCTCAGAAGCATGACATTTTTGCGTACATATTTGGACTCATTTCAGACAATCAAAGGTTACAATCAAAACACAAGGAGGCATTTGCTAATGTTTTGTTTAAAAAAATAAAAAAATAAAAACTTCCAGAGAACATAATTATCCAAGTATGTACCGTACCAGAAGTACTCCCCGTTAAAGGATAATTATGGTCGTGGTGTGTGTGTCTACAGCCCAATTCTCTTGCCAAAACCACAGAGCATTCCAAATCAGAGGCGTCTCGGAGAGGATTTCCCAGCTTACAAGCTGATCAGGACATTCAGGTAGACCCTTATGGCCTACAGAGACCTTGAGGACCATGATCTCTCAGTGCTACTGGTCATACAGCCACACTACGATACAGTAACCATCCAACGCAAACTCATTTTATTTTAGCTACAAGGAAGTGGAGCTGTGACATCCGTGTCAAAAAGATCAACAGTCTAGAGCATCAATAAATGTAAAATGCTCATGAACAGAGCAGGC